CTTCTCACGACACGAGTGCGCGTTTGAGTGGACTTCTCACGACACGAGTGCGCGTTTGAGGGGACTTCTCACGACAGGAGTGCGCGTTTGAGGGGACTTCTCACGACACGAGTGCGCGTTTGAGGGGACTTCTCACGACAGGAGTGCGCGTTTGAGGGGACTTCTCACGACACGAGTGCGCGTTTGAGGGGACTTCTCACGACACGAGTGCGCGTTTGAGGGGACTTCTCACGACACGAGTGCGCGTTTGAGGGGACTTCTCACGACACGAGTGCGCGTTTGAGTGGACTTCTCACGACACGAGTGCGCGTTTGAGGGGACTTCTCACGACACGAGTGCGCGTTTGAGTGGACTTCTCACGACACGAGTGCGCGTTTGAGGGGACTTCTCACGACACGAGTGCGCGTTTGAGGGGACTTCTCACGACACGAGTGCGCGTTTGAGTGGACTTCTCACGACACGAGTGCGCGTTTGAGGGGACTTCTCACGACACGAGTGCGCGTTTGAGGGGACTTCTCACGACACGAGTGCGCGTTTGAGGGGACTTCTCACGACACGAGTGCGCGTTTGAGTGGACTTCTCACGACACGAGTGCGCGTTTGAGGGGACTTCTCACGACACGAGTGCGCGTTTGAGTGGACTTCTCACGACACGAGTGCGCGTTTGAGGGGACTTCTCACGACACGAGTGCGCGTTTGAGTGGACTTCTCACGACACGAGTGCGCGTTTGAGGGGACTTCTCACGACACGAGTGCGCGTTTGAGGGGACTTCTCACGACACGAGTGCGCGTTTGAGTGGACTTCTCACGACACGAGTGCGCGTTTGAGGGGACTTCTCACGACACGAGTGCGCGTTTGAGTGGACTTCTCACGACACGAGTGCGCGTTTGAGTGGACTTCTCACGACACGAGTGTGCGTTTGAGTGGACTTCTCACGACACGAGTGCGCGTTTGAGTGGACTTCTCACGACACGAGTGCGCGTTTGAGGGGACTTCTCACGACACGAGTGCGCGTTTGAGGGGACTTCTCACGACACGAGTGCGCGTTTGAGGGGACTTCTCACGACACGAGTGCGCGTTTGAGGGGACTTCTCACGACACGAGTGCGCGTTTGAGGGGACTTCTCACGACACGAGTGCGCGTTTGAGGGGACTTCTCACGACACGAGTGCGCGTTTGAGGGGACTTCTCACGACACGAGTGCGCGTTTGAGGGGACTTCTCACGACACGAGTGCGCGTTTGAGGGGACTTCTCACGACACGAGTGCGCGTTTGAGGGGACTTCTCACGACACGAGTGCGCGTTTGAGTGGACTTCTCACGACACGAGTGCGCGTTTGAGGGGACTTCTCACGACACGAGTGCGCGTTTGAGGGGACTTCTCACGACACGAGTGCGCGTTTGAGGGGACTTCTCACGACACGAGTGCGCGTTTGAGGGGACTTCTCACGACACGAGTGCGCGTTTGAGGGGAATTCTCACGACACGAGTGCGCGTTTGAGGGGACTTCTCACGACACGAGTGCGCGTTTGAGGGGACTTCTCACGACACGAGTGCGCGTTTGAGGGGACTTCTCACGACACGAGTGCGCGTTTGAGTGGACTTCTCACGACACGAGTGCGCGTTTGAGGGGACTTCTCACGACACGAGTGCGCGTTTGAGTGGACTTCTCACGACACGAGTGCGCGTTTGAGGGGACTTCTCACGACACGAGTGCGCGTTTGAGTGGACTTCTCACGACACGAGTGCGCGTTTGAGGGGACTTCTCACGACACGAGTGCGCGTTTGAGTGGACTTCTCACGACACGAGTGCGCGTTTGAGGGGACTTCTCACGACACGAGTGCGCGTTTGAGTGGACTTCTCACGACACGAGTGCGCGTTTGAGGGGACTTCTCACGACACGAGTGCGCGTTTGAGTGGACTTCTCACGACACGAGTGCGCGTTTGAGGGGACTTCTCACGACACGAGTGCGCGTTTGAGGGGACTTCTCACGACACGAGTGCGCGTTTGAGGGGACTTCTCACGACACGAGTGCGCGTTTGAGGGGACTTCTCACGACACGAGTGCGCGTTTGAGGGGACTTCTCACGACACGAGTGCGCGTTTGAGGGGACTTCTCACGACACGAGTGCGCGTTTGAGGGGACTTCTCACGACACGAGTGCGCGTTTGAGGGGACTTCTCACGACACGAGTGCGCGTTTGAGTGGACTTCTCACGACACGAGTGCGCGTTTGAGTGGACTTCTCACGACACGAGTGCGCGTTTGAGGGGACTTCTCACGACACGAGTGCGCGTTTGAGTGGACTTCTCACGACACGAGTGCGCGTTTGAGGGGACTTCTCACGACACGAGTGCGCGTTTGAGGGGACTTCTCACGACACGAGTGCGCGTTTGAGTGGACTTCTCACGACACGAGTGCGCGTTTGAGGGGACTTCTCACGACACGAGTGCGCGTTTGAGGGGACTTCTCACGACACGAGTGCGCGTTTGAGGGGACTTCTCACGACACGAGTGCGCGTTTGAGTGGACTTCTCACGACACGAGTGCGCGTTTGAGTGGACTTCTCACGACACGAGTGTGCGTTTGAGGGGACTTCTCACGACACGAGTGCGCGTTTGAGTGGACTTCTCACGACACGAGTGCGCGTTTGAGGGGACTTCTCACGACACGAGTGCGCGTTTGAGGGGACTTCTCACGACACGAGTGCGCGTTTGAGGGGACTTCTCACGACACGAGTGCGCGTTTGAGTGGACTTCTCACGACACGAGTGTGCGTTTGAGGGGACTTCTCACGACACGAGTGCGCGTTTGAGGGGACTTCTCACGACACGAGTGCGCGTTTGAGGGGACTTCTCACGACACGAGTGCGCGTTTGAGGGGACTTCTCACGACACGAGTGCGCGTTTGAGTGGACTTCTCACGACACGAGTGCGCGTTTGAGGGGACTTCTCACGACACGAGTGCGCGTTTGAGGGGACTTCTCACGACACGAGTGCGCGTTTGAGGGGACTTCTCACGACACGAGTGCGCGTTTGAGGGGACTTCTCACGACACGAGTGCGCGTTTGAGTGGACTTCTCACGACACGAGTGTGCGTTTGAGGGGACTTCTCACGACACGAGTGCGCGTTTGAGTGGACTTCTCACGACACGAGTGCGCGTTTGAGGGGACTTCTCACGACACGAGTGCGCGTTTGAGGGGACTTCTCACGACACGAGTGCGCGTTTGAGGGGACTTCTCACGACACGAGTGCGCGTTTGAGTGGACTTCTCACGACACGAGTGCGCGTTTGAGGGGACTTCTCACGACACGAGTGCGCGTTTGAGTGGACTTCTCACGACACGAGTGCGCGTTTGAGGGGACTTCTCACGACACGAGTGCGCGTTTGAGGGGACTTCTCACGACACGAGTGCGCGTTTGAGTGGACTTCTCACGACACGAGTGCGCGTTTGAGGGGACTTCTCACGACACGAGTGCGCGTTTGAGTGGACTTCTCACGACACGAGTGCGCGTTTGAGGGGACTTCTCACGACACGAGTGCGCGTTTGAGGGGACTTCTCACGACACGAGTGCGCGTTTGAGTGGACTTCTCACGACACGAGTGCGCGTTTGAGGGGACTTCTCACGACACGAGTGCGCGTTTGAGGGGACTTCTCACGACACGAGTGCGCGTTTGAGTGGACTTCTCACGACACGAGTGCGCGTTTGAGGGGACTTCTCACGACACGAGTGCGCGTTTGAGTGGACTTCTCACGACACGAGTGCGCGTTTGAGGGGACTTCTCACGACACGAGTGCGCGTTTGAGGGGACTTCTCACGACACGAGTGCGCGTTTGAGGGGACTTCTCACGACACGAGTGCGCGTTTGAGTGGACTTCTCACGACACGAGTGCGCGTTTGAGGGGACTTCTCACGACACGAGTGCGCGTTTGAGTGGACTTCTCACGACACGAGTGCGCGTTTGAGGGGACTTCTCACGACACGAGTGCGCGTTTGAGGGGACTTCTCACGACACGAGTGCGCGTTTGAGTGGACTTCTCACGACACGAGTGCGCGTTTGAGGGGACTTCTCACGACACGAGTGCGCGTTTGAGGGGACTTCTCACGACACGAGTGCGCGTTTGAGTGGACTTCTCACGACACGAGTGCGCGTTTGAGGGGACTTCTCACGACACGAGTGCGCGTTTGAGTGGACTTCTCACGACACGAGTGCGCGTTTGAGGGGACTTCTCACGACACGAGTGCGCGTTTGAGGGGACTTCTCACGACACGAGTGCGCGTTTGAGTGGACTTCTCACGACACGAGTGCGCGTTTGAGGGGACTTCTCACGACACGAGTGCGCGTTTGAGGGGACTTCTCACGACACGAGTGCGCGTTTGAGTGGACTTCTCACGACACGAGTGCGCGTTTGAGGGGACTTCTCACGACACGAGTGCGCGTTTGAGTGGACTTCTCACGACACGAGTGCGCGTTTGAGGGGACTTCTCACGACACGAGTGCGCGTTTGAGGGGACTTCTCACGACACGAGTGCGCGTTTGAGGGGACTTCTCACGACACGAGTGCGCGTTTGAGTGGACTTCTCACGACACGAGTGCGCGTTTGAGGGGACTTCTCACGACACGAGTGCGCGTTTGAGTGGACTTCTCACGACACGAGTGCGCGTTTGAGGGGACTTCTCACGACACGAGTGCGCGTTTGAGGGGACTTCTCACGACACGAGTGCGCGTTTGAGTGGACTTCTCACGACACGAGTGCGCGTTTGAGGGGACTTCTCACGACACGAGTGCGCGTTTGAGGGGACTTCTCACGACACGAGTGCGCGTTTGAGTGGACTTCTCACGACACGAGTGCGCGTTTGAGGGGACTTCTCACGACACGAGTGCGCGTTTGAGTGGACTTCTCACGACACGAGTGCGCGTTTGAGGGGACTTCTCACGACACGAGTGCGTTTGAGTGTGGCGTGTTGGCTCTCCTGAATGTGGGATTATGAATCGTGAATCTTATCCTCTTGCCCTCTTGCCTCTTCCTGCATGATGTTCCCTGGTACTGTGCCCTCTTGCTCTGCCCGTGCAACCCGTACGTGCACCTGTCAGAGAGGGAGTTTGAGTGACGACCTGAGGAGGCACGGGTGGATCCTGCCCTCCTACCAGATGCCGCCCAACATGCATGTGAGCCACGGGACATGGGAAGGAGGGGCGTGCGGTGACTTTTGAGTCTGACTCACAAGTCACCCAAGTAACCTCGACCTGAGGAGGTACGGGTGGATCCTGCCCTCCTACCAGATGCCGCCCAACATGCATGTGCGCCGTGGGGCATGGGGAAGGGTGTTGGGAGGGGCGTGGGGAGGGGCATAGGGAGGGGCATGCTGGTAGGAGTAAGGCATGGGGAGAGGGATGGGGATGGGTTTTGGAACTGGGTGAAGTTTGCATAGTGTGCGTACATACGTGCATGCATCGTGTCTTTCCCCTTCCTTTTTTCATGCCATTCCTCCTCTTCTATCACAATCTACGTAGCCGCCCGTGATGTCGCCTCTTTCATTCTCATCACTTGCTGCCTCTGTGTTCCCTCGCTGCTGCCTCGCTCACTGTCTGGCACCCTTACTCACTCAACCCCTCGTTAATATCGCTTCTGGTCCTTGTAGGAAACCTACAAGCAGAACTCACTTCCACTTCCGCCCCAACTGGTTTACCATGCTCCTGGTTGCCAGGATGTGAAGGTGCTGCGAGTGTGTGTGTGAGAAAGGACTTTTCACGAGGTGACTTTTGAGACCGACTCAAAATGCTCTCTTACTCGCTAATCTCCTCTCCTCCTTTACGCTCCCGCTCGGTGGCCAGGATGTGACGGTGCTGCGAGCGTGTGTGCGGGAGGACTTCTCTCGCGAGCTAGCAGAGTGGCTGGTGCGAGACATCAAGGAGACAGTGGTGCGCATGAAGGCCCATGAGGACAAGGCACGCGCGAGGGATAGGGAGATGGAGAGGGAGGGAGAGAGGGTGGGAGAGAGGGTGGGAGAGAGGGAGGGGAAGGGTGAGGTGAAAGCTGGGGAGGAGAAGGGTGGAGGAGTGGAAGATGGGGGTAAAGGGGAGCTGCCGCTGCCCAAATCCAGACCCCTGTGTTAGCCGAGTACTATGGATGAATGGGTGATGGAAGTTTTGTGGGTGGTGCGGACGATGGTTGATTACGGTAAGATGTTGTGAAGGGAGGGTAGGGGGCAAAGGTGGTAGAATTCATGTGCAGACAGTAGATAGTACCGTAGTTTGTAGAACTTCTGTACTCCATAGTGGGTGGGATTGTAGATTATGGAAATGTTCTAAGGTTGAGTCATGTGTAATGTGTCAGTTCAATGAAAGCGGTTCTGTATGGTGTTCACATCAAGTAACTTCTGCAGGGTTAGATAAAACTTCTGTCATACATTTCGGCCGGTTTGGCAACTCACTGTCATACGGTTAAATAAATACCGCCTAAACATCCATTTTTACTATAAAGGAAAACTAACTGTACAAGGTCACTTTCTAAGCCCTGCCAACTGGGTGCGTGGAGACTGATTGTTACCAGCGCCCATAGCAGCCGCAGCAATGAGAGAAGCAACCCGCATCGATTCCGACCGGGAGCTATACCCGTACGCTGAGCAACTCTGCCCCAAGGGATGTCCCCCCTTACCGCTGCTCTGGCTATGCCCACTCACACTCCCACTCGACCCTCCGCTGCTATACCCGCTGCTGCTGTAACTGCTGAGGCTGAATCTGCTGCTGGCGCTGCTGTTAATGCTCCAACCACCCATGCTGCTCACACTGCTCGCACTGCTCGCACTGCTCAGATTCTCCTGCCTGGTGCTGCCGCTGAAAGCACAACCGTTGTCCAGCCTGCTGCTGCTGCTGCTGCTGGTGGTGGTGGTACCGGTACCGCTGAAAGCACAACCGTGGTTGCTTGCCGAGTTCCTGTTATACAACAAGCACGCTCCGTTGCAAAGGCCATTCGCGTCGAGAAAGCTGCTGCCGATGCTGCTGATGCTGCCGGCGCTGCTGATGGTGCCGCCGCTGCTGATGCTGCCGCCGCTGCTGATGGGGCGGGTGATGTTACTCAGGTACGAAGACTCTGGCTGTGAGAGGCGAGGCCGGGGGGACGAGGGAGCAAGGAGGGTCATGGCAGACGATGGATAGCGATGCAGCAACAGCTGCTGATGCTGTTGCTGCTGGTGATGTTGGTGATGCTGGTGGTGCAGGTGCTGCTGCTGCTGCTGCTGCTGCTGCTGCTGCTGGTGGTGCTGCTGCTGCAGTATCTGCTGTTGCTGCCACTGCTCCTGGTTGAGGCCCACTTCCGAGTGCAGGTACAAAGGGGACGAAGGGTAGCGATGCAGAGGCGAGGAAGGCCGGAGGTGAGCAGCACGTGGGGAAGCGCGTGCACGGGCAGCAGCAGGAGGAGGAGGAGGAGAAGACGGGTAGAACTGCGATGTCTCCCGGCCAGCATACGAGGAGCGGAACGGGGACAGTTCCCGACCAGTGAACTTCCCCCCTGCTGTGACTCTTCCTCTCGAACCCCTCTCTTCCTTTAATATTGCCCGGCCGTCACTGCCCCTCCCTGGCTCACCTGCGGCCTTTCCACCGGCGCCAGGAGCAGCAGCAGCAGCAGCAGGGACGGCGGTGCTGCTGACAACAGGTTGGAAAGTGAAGGATGAAGGCTCGTCCTCCGCTTGGGCCTCACTCTCACTCTCCTCCCACACGTTCCCTGGGATGGGGAGCGTGCTTGGGGTGGGAAGGCCAGGGTGGGAATACCGCGGCTGGCACACCGGCTGGTGACTGAAGGCGAAGGAGGACCCAATGGGCAATGTGCCACCGCTGCCGCCGCTGCTGCCACTGCCGCTGCTGCTGCTGCCGCCGCTGCTGCCACTGCCGCTGCTGCCGCCACTGCTGCCAATGCTGCTGCCGGTAGTTAGTGGGTGCTCCATATGGTGACGCCATGCTGCTGGACTGGTATCACGAGCAGCAGGAATGCCAGCAAAAGCAGCATCAGCATGAGCAGCAGCACTGCCCTTGTCGGGTGTGATCTGCTTCACTGCCTGTGGCCCCTCCCATGCTGCAAAGGAGCAATCAAGGGCCTCGTACTCCTCATCCTCCTCATCCTCCTCCTCCTCCCCATCCTCCCCACCTCCCCCATCACAATAGCCACCATCACCGCATCCTGCTCGCACAACGGGTCTTCTGTCCGCTGCTGCAGCTGCTGCCGCTACTGCAGGTGCAACCATTTCCTGTGCTGCCCTCTCAGCCATTCCCGCTCGCTCCAACTCCATCACACGCCTTGCCACACTCCCGTCGCTCCTCGTAGCCGCAGCAGCACCCGCAGCAGTAGAAGCAGCGGGCGGCACGGAACCCTGCAGCGTATCACTGAACGCAAGAGGGTGATACGCAGCAGGAACAGCGCGGTCGCCGCTGCTGCCGACGTACCCTGGAGCTGCGCCAGCGGGCGGAGGAGGAGCGGCGGCTGGGAGCGGGGGCCGCCACTGCCCGTGTTGGGGCTGCGCGGATAGATGAAAGCGGGACTGCGCTGGATTGCGGGGGGAGCGCGCGTCTGCGCGCGCGGAGGCGAGTGAGCGACTGCCGGGGCTCTGCGCGGAAGGCGATTGGGTTTCGGAGATGGAGGGGAAGCGGGCGAGCGAGGAGAGTGGCGGGATGCGCGGGAAGGGAGCGGTGGTTACCTCGGGAAATACGGAGACACTGGCATAGGGTGCTGCTGCAGCAGCGAGGCGCTGCTGCTGCACTCTCAGTGGCGGAGCGGACTCGTCGCCGGATGCATCCTCGTCGGATGCCGCCGATTCGCCGGATGCCGCCGACTCGTCGGACGCTGCTGCCGACTCGTCGGACAGGGTCGCGGCCACGCGGCGCGACCGAATCATGCTCGCTTCGCCTTCGTACGGCCCTTCAGTGCTACTGGAGTTACGAGTGATGGTTCGGCGCGATGTAGTAGCGCTAGCAGATGACGATACCGCTACCGCTGTTGCTGTTGCATCTCTCACGGCTTTTCTCCGCGACGCCGTTGTACTGCTGTTGCTGCGGCGGCTGCGGGTGGTGGTGGTGGTGGTACCGCTGCTGCTGCTGCTGCTGCTGCTGCTGCTGCTGCTGCTGCTGTTGCTGCTGCTGCTGCTTGACGTCACAGCTCGAAGCCTTTCGCAGGGAGATTCCTGACATCGCTGCTCCCAATCCTCCCAAGAATAGCGATTCGAAAAATCTTTCGCACTCCAGTTATTTTCTCGCGCTACACCACTCCCTGCGGCGACGGTGGCGGCGGCAGAGGTGCGGCCCGTGCGCGCCCCGCCACCATCCCGCGTGATTTCGTCTTCTCCCCACACAACCCCTCCGCTGTCCACTCCGCCCGCGCCTCCAGACCCAAACCCTTCTTCCCGCAAGCAAGGGCCGGGGGAGGCGGGGAAGCAGGAATTAGCCGTTAGAGGCCGGGGTGACGCGCAAGAAGCCAACCTCCGTGACTCGACGGTACTTGGGGAAAGAAGACTGTCCGTATTGTACGCAATAAGAGAAGAGGTCTCAAATGCGGACAGTGGACGCGGCACGTCGCTCAAAGGCGGCGCATGGGCGGATGGGGTTCGATGCGGCAGCTGCATCACCCGCTCGGCTGGCAGTTGGGAGAATTGGATGGGCTCGTACTGCTCGTACCGCGCACTCCTCTCAAACCGCAAAGCCAGTTGCGAGTCCCTACTACAAGCCTGTCGCACGGGATCTTGGTTATCGACGGAGCAATGGGATGATGTTCTCTCGTGCTGCACACCAGGCCCACACTCGGCAGTTGGGAGCGCCGCTCGTCGTAACTCTGCTGGTGCTACTACGGAGCTTCGTTCACCCGAGCGCCAACTGCTTGCGTCGGCGCGTTGCGCGCATGGGTCGATCTTAAGGTTGGAGTTGGAGTTGTCTATGGTTCGACGGAAACTAGTAGGCACCCGCATGAGTGAAAAGATTCCCAGTTTCGACGCAACCCCCGTCGCGCTTTTATGCGCGCCCTCTACCTGCGTCATAACCGCCTCTGAATTCTATTCTCCTGCATGAGAATTACCTACCTATACCCGTGAGCTGCACGACCAGCTACTTTCATTCAGGACACCAAGAGCAGTCAGACAAACCCGCAAGAGGTGGAGATTGGGAGATTGGGGCAAGAGGCAGACTTGTGGTTGTTGTGAGTGGGTGTCATGTCAGCACAGCATGATATGGTTGGGGTTGGGGGAAAGGAGGAGCAGATCGCGATGAGAATTTGCCGTGCTGGAGTGGCTCCAGTTTGGTTTTAGTTTTGATTGCGTTTTGGCTGGGTTGGGCTAGTTTGAGAAATGTTGAATGGTGGTTTAGAAGGGCGCGGTTGGGTGGTTTGAGCGAAACAATGGACATAGGGTGTGCGTGTGACGTTCTAATGACCGTTCGACATTCAAGATCGGGCGGTGGTGCACGCTATCCGACCTGCCGGGTGAAACAGAGGAGTCATGTAAGTCGTCGCGGTCCGAATAACTTGCTGCAACTTCTGGGTTGAGGGAGTAGGGGACGTGTGAGCGGACCCGTGTGGGCTGATCTACGCGACACGGACGACGACGGCTGCCCTGCCTCACTCCCGAACATCCTGCATATGGCTTCGATATTACAATTGACGCCACAGTGTGTTTGAACAATCGCGTGTTTGATACTGCAAACACAGTGCGCAATAGTTTACTCATCCAAATCAAATTCCATCCCCCATGCTAATGTTACTTGGCGTACCCATGATTCAAATACCAGTACATGGCCCCAAGGGTTTTTCACAAACAGAATTTGAAGCCGAAACATTCACACAACGTGCAGTTACAATCCATCCACACAAAAAAAAAACATCAAAAATCCTATCCACGATCTGCACTCTTCCGCATGTGTGCTGGGCAATCTACTCTGTGGCGACCCCCTCCAAGAGTCCCCCAGGGGAAGGAGCCGGAGTCCTGGAAGGGGTGCCTGCAACTGGATCTTCCTCGATGCCACACTCGTTGGTACCTCGGCGGATGCGGAAAAAACCATCCTGCGAGCAGGGCCAGCAAGGATATTAAAACACGAGACACTAAGCCAAGAGTGCTATCAAGTGGCTTCAAGCCAGGCAACGCAAGCTAGTTCTACGGTAGGACTGAATTAGAGAAATGGGTACTGGAAGTAATGAACACTAACCTCGCCCCAGCTTCGGGTCCACGAGTTGGCAATGATCTGCACAAGACAAGACGAAGAAAAACATTTCCAAGTAAGCCTCGCACCACAGGACCTCAGGCGGACTACACAAAGTAACGAGGGTAAACGAGGATGTGAGACAGAGAATGCCCGCAAGGCGGACATACCCAGTAGTCAACGCCATCGTCAGTGGTGCCCCAGCCCACAAGCTTGACTGCATGGCCCCCCACCATATCCCCCACCAGGTGTGAATACACTCCGCCCTTGTAATACGTGAAATCCTGCAAGGAGAATCATTCAACAAACAACGTGAGGCCACTTTTACAATACAGACGCAGTGCCACGCCAAACTTCATGGCACAGAATGTCATGAAGATACTGAGAGACTCCCTCACCTCGTAGACATCAAAGTCGACCTCAAAGGGTCCATGCAGAAGCAGCTCTGTCATCATGGCCTCCACAGAACGCCCCACCAGGTAAGCCTCAGAGGCGTAGTGCTTGCTGCTGCGCCAGTTCTCCCCATCCTCGCACGTCAGCTTGCATACAGGCGTGGGCATCAGCGGCTCGCACCCGGGATGCTTGCACCCCTGCTGATCGAAGTAGGGCTCACACTGGCAGAAGCAACAGGGGGGCACGAGAGGGGAACATAGAACGTTGAAACAACCACATCCACATCCCACTGAGGTGCCTTCGTTAAGCTTCTGCAGGCACTGAACCCCACCCAATCCACTTTAACTACCTTCGATACTGCCCCACAACCGCCTTAACCCCCCACCACCTGTCTCTGTCCTTGATCACTATATCTCCCTTCCGTGATTCCATCCTTGCACCTGCTCAGTGACGACGCCCTGCTTGGTGAAAAACTCCCACGCGAGGTACGGCCACCCGCCGTTGCACCCATCGCCACACGTGGCGCAGCACGAGAGCAAGTCGTTGGTGGACAGCTGCACAGTCTGCTCGGGGGAATGATGGGACCGTGTAACGGCAGAAGATGGTGAGGTGGTGGAAACGCACAACTAAGGTTGCGGAAAAACCATATGCCTGATAACCGGGACCAGGTTCGTGTCAAAACAGAGATCTCTCAAAAGTAGAAGGGAACGAAGAAGGAACACAACTAGCTCTGACCTCGTTAAAAGTCACGCAGAAACGGTCGCTGAGCGCCTCAACTGCACCAAAAGCCCAGCAGGAACCGCAGTGGCCCTGAAAACACGAGAAATTTAACAGTGTCGCTGTTGCTTAGACCAGCAACAAGTTACTACTACGCAAAATAGTGCGCCCACATTCAATTTCGAGATGCTTTCTGCAACTACAGAGTTTCAAGAACCAGAATCTTGCCCTCACCTGGTCTGCGGCGTATCAGCGGTCAGGTCAGGAGAACAGCAACAGCAATCCAGGAATCATACAACAGCACCCAGTGCAGGTGAAGCAATCCAACATGGAAAAGGCATGCATACAGGGAAGACGGGAGAACACGGGGAGGGGGGAAAGAGAAAAGAACACAAGGTGGTGAGACCGAGGGGACGGGAAAAGGCGAACATACGCTGAAGAACAAATAGACAATCAGCGCAAGAAGCACTACATGCCATATCTGGTACGTGTCACAGCAGGCACGTACCGCGAACGAAAGAGATGGACGGGCAGTTCGACCAGTGCTTGCGCGCGTCGAAGTGCTTCGGCAGCTCGATGTTCATCGCAGCGGGAGACAGCTCCTTGCGGGGAAGAGCGCTGGCTGGTGGATGGCGGTAAGTGCCGACCAGCGATTTGAGTGCGGGCTTCTGGTGGAGAGACCAAAATAAGACAACAAACAGCGATATGTAAGAACGATTTGAATGAAGAAGTGATACGATGTTACGCCAGCAGATCGGAAAAAGTACAGAAAAAAGGATGCAGGGGAGTGGTGATGAGTGAATCCTACAGAAAGGCGATGCACTCGCTCGTTGTAGCCCGCTTTCCATGTGGCGCGAGGGTTCTTGTTCACGCTGTCTACCAGATGAGCCTGCAGATCCAATAGGGATGGGCACGAGATGTCCCTTTGTAAAGACAGGACGACCACAGAACTAAAAAAGGGAGAGACGCTTGAGAAAGATCGGTGGGCTGGAATTAATAGGCAGAGGAGATGGGGGGACAAGGATCGGACCTTGAAGATGCTGCCAGGCAGGCCATTCGCCTCCTCAGCCTCGAAGCCTGACGGCCTTGACAGCGCGACCTGATACGCAGAGTTCAAAAAGTTTAGACGCACGGACGGAACCGGGGAAAATTCAGGTGAGACGAGATCGCAACTTGCGTTGCGAAAACACATTCGATAAAAGATGGCGGTAATGCGTACCGTGAAAAGGAATCCCGCTGCAACCAGAGCAAACAGTACAGCGGAACGGGGTGCCATGGCACACCACCAGGAAACGCACTCAAACACGTTTTTTGCGAGGCAATCAGGAGGCCCTCTCCGCTTGCAACCAAATACAATTGCCAGTTTATGCAGCCACCAGTGATCAAGTGATCAAGTGACAAGCAACAGCTATAAGCTAGGGGAGGGGGACAGGAGGAGGTGGTTGGAACCGTGGTTGGATCTTGAGCTCCTCCAAGAGAGCAGAACTGTATATAGTTGTGTTGTCAAAACTCATTATATTCAAACTATCACCTCAACTATGTCCTAAAGTTGTACCAGACACCGATTTGGAGAATTCATTGATTTTGTATTCATCATATGTTTCCCTATATATTCCCCAGACTTAAGGAATATGCAACGAGTTCTCGGCAAGAAAGTGATTGTGCAAGTTCAGATGGTCCATATGAACATCTAAGATCAGTTCCGACCTGGTGTTCAAGACGGGTTTCTTTTGATAACGCGAACCCTAAACGGAGTCACCATGGGATTCTGTACTCTTTACGAAGCCAACCCCGGTACATAACTATACACACACATGTAATGCAATGTCGCGAAGGTGACACATGTAATGTAAAGCGAGTGACGTGTTTTTCACTCAACAGCAGAAAAAGAAGGAACCTTTTTTCGTGTCCACTCAACAAAGCCTCACTGCGCGCCGCACTACGGCAGACTGAGCTGGTGCTGACTAATCTCGAGGGCCTCCACCATGATACGAGCCGTCAATGTGAACTTTCCGTCATTTCGGGCCGCTACCTCATGGTTGCAATTTACAAAATCCATTCCAATTCGTTTGCGAACCGGCAAAAGTGCACCCAAATACCAGTGTACCCTGGAAGTTGCACGCAAGCCGTGCCATTCCAAACCGCAACGGCAATCCATTTGCAATTCCCGAAGGCTTTACGGAATTGTCGACGCGTCTATCCTCTTCCCACCCGTCTGCACCTTGTCATCTCTAGCCATCTTGGCTGCCTGGGGCCCTGAGGTGCTTACAAGCAGAAAAGGCATTCCACCACCCACACAGGACTGACAGTCCAGGGCTCGACTGAATAAAGTCCAGAAGAGACGAGTTTCATCTATCACATTCCAGCAGCTGGCAAGTCAGATTTGAACAGGAGAGCTACGACTAGAACAACAGCTTTCACGGGTACTTTAGATTGGCGATGGAGATGCACGTGGAATGCTGTGGCGGGCATTTCTGGCTATACATAGTCCTAATTCTTGGCCTCGTCACCTTCTCTGGACTTATGTCTGGTCTGACGCTGGGCCTCATGTCGTTGGGCCTCGTAGACTTAGAGGTTCTACAGCAAAGCGGGTCGGAATCGGACAAGAAGCACGCAGGTGCGACTTCAAGTTTGTTCCGAGTCGGGATTATACCTTCCTCTCCTGCCATGAGAGTGGTCGCTATTTCGCTTTCCGCTATAGCAGAATGATCGCACCGAGACGGTCCGAAGTTTCCCGCCGACTGGTGACCCTTGGTTCTAATTTCAGCTGAATTCAAACGTGTTTTATTTGTTTTCTCAGCTAGCATACTCCCGGTTATGAAGAAGCCACATCTGCTCCTCTGCACTCTCCTCATCGGAAATGCTCTTGCCATGGAGGTCAGTAGATCCATCGCTCGCAACGTCGGGAATTATCTTTGTCGTAGGCCAATTATTGTTCTCCTCGGCGTCTCGACTTGCTGAACTACCACCCACGTAGCATCCACATCCTGTTTAACCTCACAACCCCCTACAACCCCCAACCCCTTTCACCCCATGGTTCCTGATTTCCGCCATGCGTGTGCACGCCGCCGCCAGGCCCTTCCCATATTCCTGGACGCGCTCGTGCCTTCATGGGCCGCCATTCTTCTCTCAGTCACTCTCATCCTGCTCTTTGGCGAGGTCCGTGCTCCGTGTTCTTCTAATAGGTGACCCAATTCTCCTTAGCGAGTCATGTCATTCTAGTAGAACTGTCGCTTTCGTCCCCTTGCGTTGGCGACGTGCCACACTGGCATCCGTGAGTTTCCATGCCTGTAGTTTCTGTAAATTGTCATGAGGTCATAATGCCTCCTGTTTTTGTACCAGTTCTTCCGCCTGAGAGTTGACAGTTTGATGCCTCCTCTGTGCATGGGGTCGTGTTTGCGTGTGCATGGTGCCGCGCAGATTATTCCTCAAGCTGTGTGCTCGCGCTATGGGCTGGCCATAGGAGCTACCCTGGCCCCTCTCGTCAAGGTTCTCGTGCTGCTCTTCTACCCCATCGCCCTCCCCATCAGCAAGGTGAGTTTCATGCCATGGTGACTCACTTATCCACTCTCTACAGGCTGCACCCCATGCGCCCAGTTGAGTCATTCTTTTCCAATTCACACTTTACACTTCTGCCACTCCTTTCATCTCCTCATCCCCTCCCCCCTGAACTCTGTACTCGTTCTTTTCATCCCGAAGATTTCGTCATTAGCCGAAAGATTCATTCACACGAAGCTTCCATGCAAAAGGTTTACCATCCTGCATCCATCCATTTCTCCTCTCCTTCTCTCGTCTCCGCTCTCCCCCTTCTCTTCATCTCTACTCCATGACCCCCCAACTCAGCTACTGGACCTCGTGCTGGGAGCAAGCAACGAGCCGCTGTACCGCCGCGCAGAGCTCAAGGCGTTTGTCAACATGCACGCAAAGATGGTGGGTGGGTGCCTCTGCTGCTATTGGCTATCGCGTGCAAGCACACATCATCACGCATGGCACCATGGCTTGCGCAGGGGACTTTCATCCCCGCTCCCACTCCATCTCCCCCTTTTGATTTCCCACTGCACCTTACCCCTTCCTTTGCTTGGCGTTCCGCATGTGGCAGGAGGGAAGGGGCGGTGACTTGACAGTGGACGAAACGACGATCATCAGTGGCGCGCTGGAGCTAGCAGGGAAGACGGTGGCAGACGCCATGACGCCCATCCACCACGCCTTCTCGCTCAGCGTCGACACCAAGCTCGACCTGTGCGTTTTACGCTGCATCCTACATCGTGCATCATGCTACATGCATCATGCATCATCCATGAGGCATCATGAGAGCATTAGTGGCAATAGTATTCAGCCACAGGCGCGTCATGTGTGTGTGAGGCTCTCGACACAAAGCTCGCCGTGTGGTGACTTGTGTCACCGTCCAGATTTGCTGCTTGCCCCTTTCCTAGTTTGAGCTGTCTGGTATGCTAGTCTGGTCACATGTGTGTGGTGTGTGCATGCGCATGCGTGCATTTGCTTGCATTTGTACATGTGCCGGAAGTGCATGAGTGTGTGCTTCGTGTTCGTCATCTGTACTCATGTTCGCTCATGCAAGCAGGGAGACGATGCAGCAGCTGATGAAGAGAGGCCACAGCCGGGTTCCCGTGTACCACGACTCCCCCAACAACATCTTTGGATTGCTGCTAGTACGTCCTAAACTATTGCATAAAATATTGGGGCTGGATGGGTTTTGAGAGGTAGGGGGGCTGTTTTGATAAGACGGTGAGTTGGGTGGGGCTGGCAGGGTGAGCATGTGATTGGGCATTAAGCCATGGCGAGAAAGGTCCTGGTGGCATCATCAGTTGTGCTATTTGTAGTTCTCTTACTCATGCTACTGCTCTGCATGTGTACACTTGCCTGAATCACAACGAATGTGTGTGCGTGTGTCTCTACGTGTATCCATGCGTGTGTGTGCGGCATTCAGGTGAAGAATCTCATATCGCTCCACCCAGAGGATGCCACTCCGATTCGCAAGGTTCCTATTCGCCGAATTCCAAGGTATCGCTGCCGAATCTATGCTCGGTTGCTGCAACACAATATTTTGCTCATACCCACTTGCATTCTGACCCACTTGCATTCCGACCCACTTGCATTCTGACCCACTTGCATTCCGCTGCAGAGCCACCCATCAGCAATGTCAACCCATGCGTCATATGTATTCAATGCCACACTTTCCTCCTTGCTCCCCTTTGTCTAATGTATTCTCCTCCACCGTTCCACCTCCCCCCTTTGTCCACTTCTCACCTCCCTCCCACCCCCCTTCCCTTTCCCAACGCCCCACTACAGTGCAGGCCTCCCTGCCCTATACGGCATGCTCAACGAGTTTCAGCGAGACCACTCGCAAATGACAGCTGTCACTTTTCTAGGCGCCTCAAAAAAAGACTACTTACCTCCCTGCCACTACCCCCCCTTCGCCCCCTCCCTCCATGCCCAACGCCCCACCAGAGTGCAAGCCTCCCTGCCCCTGTACGACATGCTGAACGAGTTCCAGCGCGGTCACTCACACATGGCTGCTGTCGTTGCTTCCGCGCGCACCCACTCCCTTGCCACCACCTCCGCAGCTGCTACCACTGCAACAGTCACTACCACCACATCCACCACCACAACGACCGTGTCTGTGCCTCATGTGGCTGGTGTTACCAGCACTACTGCCACTACTATCAGCGTCAGCAGTCCCATCACGAGTGCCAGCAGCACCTGTGTGACCAACACGCCTGACTTTTCCTCTTTCGCCTCCCCTCCTTCGGCCTTCCTTCTGTCCCGTTTTGCTGCACCCACTTCATCTTGCTCGTCTGCTGCTGCTCTCCCCGCCACTACTGCTGCTGCCCCGGCCGCTGCTGCTTCTGCCGGTGCTTCTGCCGGTGCTGCTGCCGGTGCTTCTGCTGGTGTTGCTGGCGCTGCTGTCCCTAGGGGTGGCACGTTGCGTTTACACCCCTCCCAACCCGGGACAGCCAGTTTGCTGAATATTACCGGGAAAGGCATTAGTATAGGTGACAGTGAGAGCTGCAGCACTACGAACGAGCCAACAAGGCGCCAATCTCTCGAGCCCTTGCTCTCTACCAGCATGCCATTGGATACAGATTCACCTGCACTGTCTCAACCAGCTACAGCACTAACCACGGGAAGTCTCACAGGTGAATCAGCAGTTCCGAGGGCCCATGCAGAAGGGCTATCAGGACCCACGATCCGTGTGCAGCAGCTGACTGCCGCCACTGTTTCCGCTGCCCTTACTGCCAGGCAGCAAAGGGATGGCAAGAGGTTGCTGATCGATGTGCAACAGCGACAGGGCAGCGGGCCGATGGGTGCTGCTGGAGGGCGGAAGGGTGTGTTTCGCAGCAGTGTTGTGGCTGCTGACATGGCAGTTGATGTTTCTCAGCTCGAGGCAGCTGCTGGTGCAGGGAGGAAGCGGCGGAGGAGGAAAGATAGTGGAGAAGGGAGTGGTGCTGGTAGCGCTGTTACGGGGGGCGATGGCAATGGGTTGGGGTTTAGTCCCAGGAGTGAAGAGTCTGAGGAAGTGCGACCAGGGGTAGGGGAGGAGAGGAGTCTTATAGGTGGTGGTGAGGGATCGGTGGAACAGGCAGAAGGAGATGTAGAGGCTGAGGGGAGGGGGGAGGAGGCTAGGTGTGCACGGCCAGGAGGTTGGCAAGAGGAGGAAGAGGAGGAAGAGGGGGAAGATGGGGAGGAGGAAGAGGAGGTGGTGGTGGGGATAATAACGATGGAGGATGTAATAGAGGAGCTGTTGCAGGAGGAGATATTGGACGAGACAGATGTGAACCTGCTCATGCACCGGTGTGTGAAGGTGCCCTCCTCCACGGGGCACACTCCTGGAAGCACATCTGCACGCACGTCTGACCACATTCCTGGATATACAGTTGAGTGCACTAGTGGAGATACAGCTGGGATGACTGATTCATCTGAGCTTTTTCGCACCCCAAGCATCAGGCTCGAATAGTGGCACTTCCTCTAATCGCACAAGCTCATCAATCTAATCGTTCGCCAGACACACATAAAATACAGTTGTCGTTTGACCCTCTTATTTCTAGTTGCTTGTTTTTTACTTAGATTTGTCCCGTTTCGAAACATGTTTGAAGGAACATGCATGGTTTCCCAAGTTGAGCACTCCAACGGTGTTTTCCTAGGCGACTACCATGCATTGATCACAGAATCATCAGACATAGTATTTGCCATCTTGTGGTTATCGTATGCTGAATTCAGTGAAATATTTGAAATATAGTTCTTGAGATAGGTGGGATTTAGTATTACCAGAATTTATCTGTAAGGTGAGACTCTGCTCCTCGTAGTGCAACAGATCCCTTGCTGAAACGAGGCTCCACTACTGTTCGGGGAGGTCGCGCCTTTTCAAACGGCGGCGGAGGTTCCAAGAAAAGGGAGGGGCCACAGTCGCCAGAGGAGGTTGGTTGGAAGGAACTAGAGCGCGGGGCGGAGCAGCACTGGCTGTTTGTTGGTTAGTTCGTTGTACTACGGTCTTGTTCGGTCCACGGGTATTCGGCGAGAACGACGTTTTGAGACAAGAAACCAATCAAACCAACGCAAACACGCTCGGCATTCCCTTGGTCTTCCTGTCAGCTTGTCAAGGTCCTTCCTCTCCCTTGCTGCGAAGTGATTCTTTTTTCAAGAGGTGGTTCAATTCAGAAGGTCCGTTGCACATGTCTCGAAGCTCCGTCGCGTCCTGTGAGTTCAGCTTGCCTACCTCAACATTATAGTATTTCTGCTGCCTTATTTATCGGTCATCGCAAGATCCCAGCCTTGTACTGGGGTAACTTCGGTGACTTTCACAACCAGCCTATCGCTCGTGTCGTGACTAGGTTAAAAAGGCGGAAATTGACCAAAGTTTTATTGCGATGGCGCACGCGGAGCAGCTGCAGCAGTATCCGTTTCCATACCCACAGCCGCAGCCGCAACCGCAGCCGCTGCCTCAGCCGCAGCCGCATCCGCAGCCGCCGCGAGATTGGGAGCGGCAGTTGGTGCTGAGTAGCGTGGGCGACTGGAAGGCGTGGGCTAAGGAGTTTAGCGAAGCGGCGACGGTCATTCGCGGGCATGAACATGAACATGACAATGAGAAGGACTATGGCAATGGCAAAGTCCTTGCTGTTAACCTTTGCGGCGGTCAGCCTGCTGCTATGCCGAATGGCGCCACGGTCGAGATCCAATCGGAGCATGCGCAACAGTCGCAGCATCAATCGCAGCGGGAATCACAGCAAGAAGCGCAGCAGCAGTTGCAGCAACTGTTGCAGCAGCAATCGCAGCCACGATTGAAGCTGCGGGAACAGGATGAGCAGCCGGAGGAGCGACCGTCACTGCAGCGGCAGCAGGAACAGCCACAATATCAACAAACGAAACCGTACCCGCGACAACCACAGCAGCAGCAGCAGCAGCAGCATACACAGCAGCAAACACAGCAGCAAACACAGCAGCAGCAGCAGCAGCCAGCGCAACAGCTAGCGGGAATCGGGAAGTTCGAGCGGTCAGGACTTCCGGACCAAGCGAGCGCGGCCCCCTTCCCGCAGCAATCTCCGCGCGCACTCCTACCGGGCGCAACGGCGGACGCATCTTCCACGGCCGTCGGCGGAGAGGTCGACGGCGCGCACGGCGTGGGAAGGGCGGTCGGCGCTGCGCACGCGCGCGCGAGCAGCGATGCGCGGAACAGCGTCCGCTCTATGATCGGCACGGCGCAGGTCCTCGCGGATGGGCGGAGTGAGAGCCTTAGCGGGCGGCGGCGGTACGTGGTGACGAATATACGGCGGGACAAGCTGAGCAAGGGCAGCGAGGTGCGTTGCGGAAGGCATGGGAGGGCGTGCCGTGGTATTCCATGACACGTAGACGCCATGTTGAATGATGAGTCCCATGACGTATGTTACACCAGTCGCTCCTTCATGCTCTTTCTTCCCGCTTCCTCCTTCCTCCCTTCCCCTCCCCTCCCTCTCACCCCGTTTTCCTTTTTCTCTGGGGCGTGTGGGGGGGGCTCGCGCGTGGGATTCGTGGTGTGTGTTATCGCCAGGGCGTGCCAGCGTGGAACGAGGGGTGGAATCGCGACGAGCAGCAGGGCTCCAAGCAAGTACCGCCCATCAGTCCGCGCGTGGCTCTGCGCTCCCTCATCACCACCGTCAAACATGCCGCCGTCGCCACCGCCGCCATCACCACAATTACCGCCAGCGCCAGCGCCAGCGTCAGCGCGAGCGGCAGCGGCGCTCTCAGCGCCAGCTCTAGTGGCGCGGGCTCCTCCGCCAGTGGTGCGACTGCGGGCTCCGCCGCCGCCGCTGCTGCTGTTGCCGCTGGCGGCGCAGCGGGGGCGGGGGGGCATCAGCAGCGCGGGTACAAGTACTCCGCGTCGTTTTCGCGCTACTCTGAGGAGCGCAAGGCGCCACCGCCGCGCTCGCTCTCCGCCTCCTCCTCCGCCTCCTCTGCATGCGTGCCAGCTGCCACCATCGCCGCGGAGGCGCGGGCAGCGGAGGTGGCGGGGAGGGCCGGGGCGGCGGAGCACGGGCGGGAGGGGCAGCGCGGAGGCGGAGGAGGAGGAAGAGCAGCGGCGGGTAGCGCGTTTTCGATGGAGGAGATGGAGCGAGAGTTCGAAGAAATTGATGAGGTGAGGAATACAATCAGGAAGAAGGAGGAGATGTTTGATAGTGGTGGTGGTGGAAAACGGCAAGGGGATGTTAGGTAGATTGGAGTTGCGGGGTGAGGGTTGGGTTGAGCTGTATTGATATTGTTTCTCCATAGCCCCCATGGCTCTCTGCCTAATCCCTGCTGCCCCTTGCTCCCATGGCTCTCACCGCCTCCCCTTCTTGATTCCCCCCTCCGCAGTTCGAGGCACAGCTGAGTACCATCACCTCAGCGGCTCGTCCACGTGTCACTGACACTCCTTCTCTCCCCTCCTCTGCTGCACCAACCATCAACCCCACCCACACCCTGCCTAGCACTATCACCGCTTCACCCAACCATACCACCACCGTGCTTGATCTGCAACACATATCCCCGCCTTCCTCTCAGCCTCCTGTTTCTCCCGCCGTACCCTCTCACCGTCCCTCCATCCCTCCTCTCCTCTCCCATCAGCCCTCGCCCCCTTCTTTCCCTCTGTCCGTGCCCCCACCTCTTCCTGCCACTGCCCCCGCGCTGGTCCCTTCTGCTCCATTCGCCGGCACTACTTGTGCTCCCCCCTCTTCCACTGCACCCCCTGCTGCGCGCCCCTCCCCCGAGCCCCCTGCCGCGCGCCCCTCCCCCGAACCCCGTGCTGCACGCCCCTCTCCCGAAACCTCTGCTGCGCACTCTTCCCCCGAGCCCCCTGCTGCCCGCCCCTCCCCCGAACCCTCTGCTGCGCAGCCTCCCCTTGAGCCCTCTGCTGCGTACGCCCCCTTGGAACGCATGGGGGCAGGCAGAAGGTGGGGACAGGAGATGGGCGTGGGAGGGGGCAGGGGCGATGGGGCGAGGGGTTTAGGTGTGGGCGGGAGAGAGCGAGAGGGTGAAGGGACGAGGGGTAGAGAGGAGGAGAAGGTCTGTGTTGCAGGGCGAGGAGATGTTGTAAGGGGGGCGGGGGATGGGCTAGCGATGCCACTGTCACAGTTGCCAACACCACACACACCTGCTCCCCCTTCTCCTCCTCCTCCTCCTCCTCCTCCTCCCTCTGCTGCTGCTACTGCTGCTCTTGCTTCTGCTCCTCCTGCTGCCCCTGCTCCTCCAACTGTTGTTCCTCCTGCTGCCCCTGCTCCTCCAACTGTTGTTCCTCCTGTTGCCCCTGCTCCTCCAACTGTTGTTCCTCCTGCTGCCCCTGCTCCTCCAACTGTTGTTCCTCCTGTTGCCCCTGCTCCTCCAACTGTTGTTCCTCCTGCTGCCCCTGCTCCTCCAACTGTTGTTCCTCCTGTTGCCCCTGCTCCTCCAACTGTTGTTCCTCCTGTTGCCCCTGCTCCTCCAACTGTTGTTCCTCCTGCTGCCCCTGCTCCTCCAACTGTTGTTCCTCCTGTTGCCCCTGCTCCTCCAACTGTTGTTCCTCCTGTTGCCCCTGCTCCTCCAACTGTTGTTCCTCCTGCTGCCTCCCCACATGCCTGCTCGTCACCTGCCACTACAAGTGCGCCCACTGAGGCTGCTGGTGCTGCTGCAGGCGCGGATGCGCCGCAGCCTGTGGGTGGTGCGAGCAGGGAAGGTCATGGAGACTCAGGGACAGGGCAACGGTCGGAAGGGAAAGGCGATACTGCTAGAATAGCGGCGGGGGCAGTAGAGGAAGCAGCAGCAGGAGCAGCAGCAGCAGCAGCAGGAGGAGCAGGAGCAGGGAAAGCAGAGGAAGGAGCAAGGGTAGAAGCAGCAGTGGAAGCAGGCAGCAGCTTGCAACAAAGCACAATTGAGTCGACCGTTCCAACAGGCGCCCTCTTTTCCCAGGCTCGCCCATCACTTGTCATTGATCAAATCACCCATCATACCACGCACTCTCTTTCCCCATCCGCTCCTCTCAACCCCGCAGCACCACCTCCTGCCCCTCTCACATCCCCACAAGCTCAACCCACATGGCAAGCCACCGCCTCTCCTCCCGCAACCCCTCCCTCCTCGCGAACCAGTAGCATCCTGCGACGCTTCACCCTTCCTCTGCTGCACACGCCCCACGCTCGCCACAGCACGTCGTCACCCTCGCCCGCACATGCACACCCGCACATAGCCTTGTCTTCCCCATCGTCCACCCCTACGCTGCCTTCCGCCCTGTCCTCTGCTGCGCCGCCTCTTTCACCGTCTGCCCCACCGTCTGCCTCATCGTCGTCCTTTGCGTTGTCATCAGCTCGCCGCTTCTTCCCCATCAGCCGATCCACCTCTGCTGCCTCCCACTCCTCCGTTCACTCCCACTCCCATTCCCTCTCCAACTCCCGTTCCCCCGCCCGCCCCTCCTGCACGCCTTTCGCTGCACTTCGCGTTGATACCTCCCCTGTTGCTGCCACTGCCGCTGCAGCCGCAGCTGCAGCTGCAGTTGGTGCTGTTCCCTCACCTCCCATGTCCCCGAATTCTGAGGGGAACGCTCAAGCACGGACCACTGCAGCTTCTGCTGCTGCTTCCTCTGCTTCCACCGCTCCTTCTGCTTCTGCTGCTGCTGAGGCCGTCACTCCGTCTGCACCTGCAGCTACAGCTGCCTCCCCTACCACGCCTACCAGCAACTTCCGTCTCGTCCCCTCCGTCTCTGCACGCTACCGTTTCCCCTCCAGCCGATCCACATCCAGTGTGCCATCCCCCTCCGCTGCTGCTGCCGCCCTTGCCTCCCCCTCGTCCGCCCCCGCCTCTTCTGCTGCCGCGGCTCAGCTTGACAGCAGCGGGGGTGGTGGCGCTTCAGGCACAGACGCAACTGGCGAGAGAACGGGAGAGAGAGCAGGAGAGAGGTTGGATATGAGCAGCATGGACCCTGCCCGCCTGCTGCAGCGGCTGGCAGCAAGGGCGAGGCTGAGCGAGGAGGAAGAGCGGATGGTGGAGCAACTAGCAGAAACCCTTCCGGGGATCCGGGAGATGGTGAATCGTCGACAACAGCTGTTGGGAAAAGAGGCACAGGAGCGGAACAAGGCTGTGGAAAGCCAGGAGGAAGAGGTGGTTGCGGGGGAGGGTGATCGGGTTGGCCGGGTTGTGAGTGCAATTGAGGAAGGAGATGAGTGGGATGAAGCGGCTGAGGCGCCGGGGAAATCGGCAGAGAATCAGCCGCAGCAGCAGCAGCAGCAGCAGAGGCAGCAGCAGAGGTCCTACGCCGGTATGCCCTTCCCCTCCCCAGTGCCCTCTCCCTCGCCCCCACCAATCAGTCGAACGTCTGCAGCGGCACTGCAGTGGCCTAGGAGTGTGTCTGCGGCTGCTGCAAGCAGCACACGGAGCAAGGAGGGGGCGGATGAGGAGAAAGGGAAGGACGGCGAGGGGGTGAGTGGCCGGCACAGGGGCAGGCGTCTGAGTGGGCCTCTCATGCCCAGGAGGGGGCAGAGGCACAACAGGCGGCTTAGCCAGGGGCTTAGTCAGGGGCACAGCCAGGGGGAGGTGCATGGGGATGATGCGCAGGGTCAGGGCCAGGGCCAGGATGAGAAGAAGGTGAGACCTCGTTGCAGTTGTTTGATTGTTTGTGTGTGTGTGTGTGTGTGTGTGTGTGTGTGTGTGTGTGTGTGTGTGTGTGTGTGTGTGTGTGTGAGTGTGCATGCGCGCGCGCACGCGTGTGTGTGACTTGGGGGTTTTCATGCAAACTGTAGTCCTAAGTAGCATGTGTGTGTTACTGCGCGTCAAAATCCCTGCTCGTACCGACAACCTCCCAGCCCTCCTCCCCGTTGCACCCGCCATCACTGGGATGTTCACAGGGCCTGTGGAGACTGGATGTGTGGCGCAAGCTCCTCTCGCCTACCACCCCCACCTGACATCACGCCAGCTAGCGCTGTGCTAGCATCACTGCGGCTCCTGCTGCGTCCTGGTGAGTCTGTGCCAGTGACAAAGAGCTGGGCCGAGATGCATACTGTATCTAGCTTGTGACATTGTGCTCAACCTATCCTATCTCTCCATCCACCATCTGTGGCCTCTTCCGCCGTAACTAAAAAAATGCCTTGACGCTGTGTCCTGGATGCTGATTGCAGGTGTAGCTGATGAAACGGCATGAAACACTGGTTGAAGGCCTGAAGTGCTTTGAAAATCCTTGGAGTTGTTTGTTGGGGTTTCAGTATTCTGAAATACCCCGTCTAAGGTCCATCCAACTTTTGAGACAGTTGGTATCCTTGGCAATTGGTAGAACTTGTAGTTAGTGTTGCAAGCTTGTTGGCGGATTCCCCTCTGCCAAAATTAAAGGGTAGTGTACCTTGATCAAAATGTATGTTACGGTACCTAGAAATGTATTTGTACAGGTATTCTCTCCTTGTGCGCAAAAAATTGTGCTACCTTCTGTGTGTTGGTGCCTCTAATCAAGCAGGAACTACAGTATCTCATCCCCACCTGCTCTACAGTTCCATTTGACGTCCTGAGGGGTTTTCCAGCCTCGGGGCTGGGCGGACGTGGGGGAACTGACTCGCTGGCCCTGAGGGTCACTGTTTTTCGGGGTTGGACGCGATGGTGTAGATTTTAGTGCGTTCAAGTGGACTTTCGGTCTTTCCCGTGACCCTCGAGATTGCCATCTTCTAGCATCAAATCCTCTGCTCTGCAGACATCCCCATTGTGGATGTGAACCTTGAAATGCTCTTGCCTTCCCCCCATCTCCCCAGCTTCGTGTTGATAATTTTTTCTGCTCCTAGTGTAGAGCATCTCGGCACCCTGCCGGGCTCGCTGTTTGCTTGCCAAGCTAAGCTACGACATCGCGCCAGGTTCGTTCTTGACGAACTTTTTTCTGTTTATTTTATTGTTATGACTGGAAGAAATATCACCCTTGCAATCTCTTGTTTTGTCCCGCCTGCACTCCCCCACAGTATCGCCTTTTTATTTTCCGCGCTCCCTTTTTTCGTTCCCACTCAGCGTCATAGAACCATATATACTAACGCGGTCTGTTTAGTATACGTGCGCGTCCTTCCCGCCATTTTTCCTTGTGGCACACGCCCTCAATCCACTCTTGTTTTTACTTTTATTATTGTCTTTACATTCACGACGCTCAATCCTAGACAGAAGACGTAGTCGAAGCTCTTATGTACCGCTCGAC